CTCCTCCTCAGCCTCAGATTCAGGCAACCGCCTATTAACCCGGCGGCTAGGCTGCTCCCGCCTCTGCCTTTGCCTCCCGCCCTCCTCTCCTTCACCATCACCACCACCCTCCCCAGCCTGCTCTTCCTGGGCACGCGGTTCCGGCTGCTTAAGCCCAAGACTCCGCGCCAGCCGGATCTCAAACTCATCATCCCTCTCACTGCCCTCAGACTGCCCATAGACCTCTCGAACCAACCTCGCAACCCCCTTCGTCCCCACCTCAATCTTCCCCCTAGGCCCAAGAATATACTCAATGACCTCCTCCCCACCATCCACATCGCGATTGCGGACCAAATACCCCTCCTTACACAACCGCTGCAAGAACCGATCCGTCCGATCAATAGGCGTCCACGCATCCGTATTAGTCCGCTTCAGATACCTCTCGAGCTTCTGCTCATGAATCGTGCCCCCATTAAGCACAATCACCGCGATAATAAAACTATACAGCCCCGTATATGTACTCTCCATCGGCGCCCTACTTGGCAGCAGTATCTCAGGCTTCCGGTACTTCGTCGGCAACGTAGTCGTCACTATCCAGGACTTGTTCGTAGATGAAGGCTTTTCAACCTTTTGCGCAGCTGTTCACATCCACATCCACATCCACCAGTTAGCCAATACACACCTTCACACAACCCCCTTCTCCATCTATCACAGGGTATGTAGAAGAAACTCACCCCTCCTCTGCTGCACCGTAACCTTCTCCTTAACCGGCAACTCCATCATCTCCATCCCAAACTTCTCCTGCAACACCCTCTGCGCCTCCTCAAACACCGTCTTGAACTGTCTCGTCCCCTGCTCCCCCAGCACCTTAACACTAATATCCGATCGTCGGATCGGCAGGCGCGAGAACTCGCTCGCTAGCGCTAACCGCACCATCTTCTTCACCATCACGTCCGTGCTACTGGGCGCCCGCGTATCGTACGCATCATCGGAACCGGCATCGTCGTTGTCGTCGTCGCCATCGTCTTCGCTATGCGCCGCTGCTACCCGGCGTCGTTGCGTCGCGGGCGTGGGGACGTCGTCTTCTTCGCTGGGTGAGTCGGGGACCTTTGCATGCAGTTACATGTTAGAGTTTGAGCTTGGTGCAGTGTATAGGTATGAGTGAGTGACATACCGCGCGGCGTTTACGGGCAGGTGCCATTTCTTCGGGTCTTCTTTCTCTTCTTCTTCTTCTTCTTCTTCTTCTGGGTGGGGAGGTGGGTGTTGTAGTTGTCTATGAATGCTATACTGACAGCCTACATGGCAATGAGCATCTGGTCTCGTCCTGTCTTTTTTTTGTGTTGTTTGTTTGTCTGTAAGGACAGGCAAATAACGGCGTATTGATTGTTGCCGACGGTTTCCCTTTGTTCGGTGGAACGCGCTGCGGCGCGACTAGATTCGGGTGGGGCGCGGCGGGCGTGATTTATCCTATTTGGGTAGGATGTGCTTGGCGGGTAAGATAAGGGTTTGATATGATACTACAGGATGGTTGCGCAGCAATTGATGCATGCTTTCATTGAGATTGTTGGCTAGTTACTGTGTGTGTTATTGGCTACAAGGTAGGCTATGTTGTTTGGTATGTGAAAATAACTTTAGCCACATAGTATTAGTGCCTATTTTGGAGGGTTCAGTGTACGGTTCTCTTTGTTCTATGAAGCGTTAGTTCGACTAGTTGCTTCTATGCTTTGCAGCAGTACCATGGACGATATAGTAGCAGAAATGCCAAATACGAATATGAAAGGAAAATCTGTTGTTTCCAATGGGTGGTAGGGGGTAATGGGGTAATCAATAACAAAAACAGTAAAAGAAAGATGGGGAAAAAAAGAAATCTCCCCGACTGGGAGTCGAACCCAGGTCTCCCGCGCTTGTTCCCGAAAGGGGATTGACAAGCGGAAATCATGACCGTTAGACCATCGAGGATTTGATATGTTGGTTCCTCTACTTTTGACATTATGTTTGGGAATTGTGTTTGGAGGTTGTGTTGTCTTTGAGGGAAGTTTCGTTGACGTCGCTATTGGTTTGGGGTTATTGTTTTGGGTTATTGTGTAAGTGACAGTTGGGATACTCTAATGAGGCTAAATCTGTGTGCTGGTTTGATGGTGAAGCTGTGCGCCGAGTGGTTGTCGGTGCTTTCTAGTACTGATAGTACCAGCATATTCGGTCGAGCCAATATATATTCACGGAACCACCATCGTTACCAGTCTGCAGCAACATCGACACCATGATAATATCCAGATCACTACATGCACACCAAATACTACCACAGATAGAATAGATGCAAGCCATCAGCCTCCAAAGCCATGATCACCAGGTAAGCATAGACCGAACAAGCATAACAATCATCAAGATTTTGCCATCTACACACGGCCACCAACGTACGTGCGTCTACAACCATCCTCAACGTAAACGCCGTAACAGGAAGTCTATACCTATCGGTAATTTACAGAAGCCTACATAGACGGTAGATGCTCTACCATATGCCAGTGATAAGAAATAACCTATGCTTGTATTGCTCGGGTTGGCTCCGGCGGGATATTAATTCAATTGGGCCAATGCACCGATCACGGCCACGATATTCCCGCGCAGCCCTAACTCGATGTTTCCGGCGGCATCAACGGCCAAAGATTTCCCCAAACTTCCTCCAACACGATGACACGCACGAGGTAAACGTGCCCAATAGAATTAGCTTCACAGAAACCAGAAAGAGATGAAACCAATAGTTATGTGTCACTGGTTGCTGTGGCGCCAGGACTGCCTTGAACACCCCGAAAGCTAGCGGATTTGTGATATTAGATAGAAAGGACACCGAAAGTTGAAACCAAATATCAAACTTTTATCGCCCAATCCAATGATGACTGACTCATATCAGTCACTTGATCGCACCGGATTCTTACCAGACAAGTATTAGATTTTAGCTTGCCACCGCCATCGGTAATTAAGGCACGACCACCGCGCCATGGAGAACATGCCCATCGCGATGACCAGAACGGCACCGAGAAAGGCCACCATGGCCTGCTTTCCGACCGTCTCAATCATCTCACCACCAATGGGGATACTGATTAGGGTACTGCTCAGATGTATTAGCACATTCCTCTACAATAGTTCGGGCGGCATACGCAAAGCTGACGGTCAGATAGCAAACCCCGAATCTCCCTCCCACTTCGCTGGCTTTGGAAATTTGACCGATGCAAGCTGGCGCCAGACTAATAAAGGAACCGGAAGCAAATCCATATACACAGCTGAAGATATAGAGTCCCGCCAACTTGCTTCCGAAGGGTAGCCAGATGACAAAGACCGCCACGGCACCCAGGCCGAGCAGTCCTATCTGCGTGTTGATTCGCCCATACTTGTCTGCGACACCACCGGCGACGAGGCGACCAATGGTAGAGCACCTAGAGAATTGCATCAGATTTGATCGGATTTTTATAGTTATGGTATCATGTCGGCTCCTACACGTTCAAAATAGACAGAAGGATGATGCTGGTGGTAGTGCCAAATCCCTGCATTACAACATATGTCGGGTAGAGACCGAGGCAGCCAAAGACTTCCAGTTCCATGACTACAGGTCATTAGCAAACCAATACTACCCTAGAGCGGCCGAGAGTCTTGGGCTTACTGAATGTTCCCATGGTCAACCAGGTAAACCTGGCGTCCTGGAAGGCACGCACGTTGATGCTCGGCTTGCTCTGGCTTCTTGGTAGACGAGAGCGAACAAAAGCAATTCCCATTGCACACAAGGTCCCCACAATCAATGCGAGCAGCCGCATGGTCCACTTATATCCAAGGTCCTTAAACCCTGCCCGGAGAACCCAGGGGAATACCACTCCCCCAACTCCCGCTCCGGCCATCGCCGTGCCCATGGCCAAGCCAACTCGGCGATCGAACCAATGGGGAACGGCGGAAATGGCAGCCGTGCTCAACAGAGCAGCTCCCATGCCAGTGAGAACACCAAAGGTCAAGATAAATTGCCAGTAGAGTTGGCATTCAGCCATCAATAGCAGGCCCGCGACGTAGCAGGCCGTCCCGGCAATGAGAATGCCCGTAGGTCCGTACCTGTCGAACATCGGACCAACCTGGGCGCCCAAGCCCAGGCCACAGAAGACAAATAGACCCGGAATCCAACCGATGACACTACTGGTGTAGTCCGACAGCTGGTGACTGGCAAAATAACTCTGCAGGACACCAGTAGAGTTCATCATGCCGTAACTGCTCATCAGTAGGAAAAAGGACCCCAGAACAACAACCCATGACCTGGTTCCACCATCTGGAAATATATCATGGGGAGTAGTGTCACGGACGTGAAAGGTGTTGGTGGAGATTTGAGCTGGTGGTTCAACGATCTCGAACGATCGGGGTCTGCCGTAGCTGGCAGTGGAATGCGCGGCGCTAAGGTCAGACGGGCCTTGCAAGTCTGTTGAGCGCCAGGGCTGCTCGGCGATGGAGGCGGCCGACTTTTGCTCAAGCGCCATAGTTGATATTACGTTCTGCTAGCACTGAGCGTAATCTGCGCGTAGCAGAGGCCAAAAGAGAGCGGGGTGCTTGAGATATAGTCGGTCAGGCATACGGCGGGGGCCAGATTGGGTTACGGGCCTGGGCTGAAGGATCATCGGCGGGATGATCCTATCGGACCTCTCAGCGAGCTCCTCGTCCAACTTCGGCTCGGTTTCCGAACGCGGCATCTCACTATGAGTCAGTGAGCTGCAGCTAAAACCTACTGTCGGTGAAAAATTGAGTGTTCTATCTCACATCAATACGTGGTGTTGGTCGGACGACAGCAGATTCGGCATCATGCTCGGGTGTTGCACGAACGGTAGGACGTCAATGGCACAGCCGCATAGGTGTTCAACTTATCATGTCGTCTTAATCTAGGCTGTCAGTATACAAAGAATAGAGGAAGACGCTGGATAGGAGGATGTCTGCAGTGAATCGTGTCAAGGAGGAAGTACCTTGCTTCGTGTCTCGGGTTGTCAGTGAAACAATCTGATTTGTATGATGGATAGCTTGGTGATCACCCCCAGAGAGTAACAAGTCATAGCTAATGATGGACTTCACGCATTATACTCCGATATAAGCAAAGATGCGAATTGCAAACCCGCAAAAGCTGATCGCGCAATTCGCATTGATGTTGACAGATATGAAGGAGCCCGTCGATGGGTAACTCGGCTTTTGATCCATGATCTATCGAAATTTGGCCGGACAAATTCCCATTGATGAATTGAGCCACCGACCTGTTGAGTTGCTGGCTGTGTCTTCTTCGGGGGTTTGCACGGTGGTGTGGATGGAGAGCGTCGATGAGGGACATAGTGAAGTCGGGAACGAGGATCCCTGACCTCCCAGCCCGGTATCTTGCCCCGGGGCACGTGCTAGACATACTAGTCAGTTGATCATTTTGATTCCATATAATCATGGATTTCACTTAGTTCCGGAGTTATTGGACAAGAACATTGTGGGTGTCGAAACTGACTGCATCCGAGATGGACGGAAAAGACCCTGAGAGCAACCTCGCTTCGCTCCGGATAAAAGTGTGTTGAGCCCCAAAAGACAAGGCTGTCAGTTTCGATCAGTCTGCCCATCTAACAATGATTCTATGGCGGATATAAAGTCAATGGGAAACCCTGTAGTGACACGGGCAAGCCACGGCGCATTCAAAACTCAAACATGCAGACGCCCGAAAAGCTTCTCTTGACGACCTTGATCCGCCCGTTGAGGAGCCTCTCAGGTACGAGTCTAGTGATTATGTCAAGAATAATGCTATAAGCGCTTCTTGAGACCTTTCAAAATCACTTCACTCTTGGCGCTGCTTTCGGCATTCTCCGAGTGGTGATTCATCGCGGATTGCTTCGAGACAGTACCCAACAGACATATGCCACTGCAAACTACTATTCACAGAACCCAATAGGGTGTTTTACATAGAGTATCCATTCTTTCATCATGCAATGCTGATCACCCCTTCATGCCCCAGACACGTGATCGACTTGTCATCTTGCAAAAGTCCTCGAAGTCTATCCGTCATCTACGCGCTTCGTTGTTTCTCGCCATCACAAATGAAAGCCCAGTATGGATGAGCAACTAGTACTTGCGAGGAAACGTCGCCGACAGGAGCTGAATAATATTTATGGACAGCTTGGCGACTTTGATCATCGTTTGTTACCCGCCCATCTCGAGCAGGTCAAAATCAAACACACAGAAATGTCACTGGATGCCAGTAATCCTCCCTATTACTTCTCTACTTACCTGTACCCCATCAAAGGACCCGAGTATGAATATCCCGAGGATGCGGAAGTCTGGCCGGAATTTGAGGGATGCCCATACAAGAATGCAGAACACCTCGCCATTTGTCTGAACCGATTTCTCTGTCGTTGCGAGATGCCAGAAGCAGACACTCACCCACCTCGCTTTAGAATTTCCTCGTTAGTTTCCCCCCCTCGTTTTTGGAATACTCAACTTTATTAATGTTTAGCCGCCCAGTTGGGGAAATCTCAATTTTTCAAGACTTGGGCTGTGTAACTTTGGGCTCTCAGTGGCAGGTTGAATCAGTTTGGTACGATACCAACACCGAAGCCCCTCATATCGTGGCTCTCATGTGGAGTGAGCTCGCCCACCCACAGAACAAGGAGCTTTGTCGCAGCGAGGTTGACGCCGCGATTAAGATCATGCACGGACGCTTGCGAGACCCATCCCTCCGACCTCATGTTATTGCCCCTGTGAGCCTTCAGCTACCCCTATTATCCAGGTAAGCGCGAAACGCTAATCGCTCTTGCAGGTCCTGCTGCTATCAGCCATTGGAGAGCACTACCTCCGGGTTGATGAGGCGTACTTCGACAAGGGCCAGCTTGTCATGCGAAGTTGCCCGCTTATGGACATGCGGGAGCGGGACATGAATTGGCTCATCACCTTGGCGAAGTGGTGCTGGGGAGGCCCTAGCAGCAAGAGTACCAAGTTCATCAAGTCTTAATCGATATCGGTATCGTCTTTTGGTTTAGGTTTACGGCGTTATGGATGCCCATGGTTGTTGGGCTGAATAATTGGACATGTCGGGTTAGGGTTAGGGTCAGGGATATGAGCTAATGACTTGAATTGCTTAACGATACATAATAAGCAGTTTGTGTGCTATGGCAAGACCGTGATGGTAGTATCTTCGGCGGGTTCATTTTTCTTTCTGAGTTGGCATGTAGTGGCAATGATAGGCTTGGTCTTCTTGGTTATAGGAGACAGTAATATGAATGACACTTGGACTGAAGGAGACAGTGAAGGAGGGCTACCGATCTATATAATAAGATTAGGATAAAAATTGCTTGTGTTGTATAAAACAACTAAAAGAAAAAAAAAAGAAGAATACATACAACAGAAGGGATTCGCTGGTGGTCACCCACCCAACTACTAACCTCCCGGCGTGTGGCTTAAGTACGGCTGAGCGGACGGGAAGCCCTGTTTTCCACACCCTGTGGTCGTATGTACTAGATAATTCTATGGCTACATTGATATAGTGTAAAAAACAAAGCATAAACATCGAACAGTATAACGAAATGCTATGGATATATGATGGTGTTGTGGTTCAACAACCCTTTCCGATTTAGTGGAGTATAAGACAGTGTAGTGCAGATGTTTGGTATGGATGTGGATGGTTGGATAATTCATTTTCTAGTAGGAAACATGCAAGTAGTAATTTCGAACAGGAGGAACTGGTGTGTTATGTACTTGTTATTATATATCTTTGACATCAATTCGGATCTTCAGTTGAGTGATCAAACTGCATCCAGTAGCAGTAGGTTTGAACCAAGACTAGCTACCAAACTAACAAGTAATAAAGAATACATCTACAGGCCAACCATGAAATGCCTATCTCCCAGCCACTTACCAACCCACGATAAACCAATACACCAATGATTCTTTATCCCAAATGGAAACCTACTGTTAAACGTCGCATACCCAAAGCCAGCTTCCGTATGCCTCCAGCTCGACACATATACTACGGTGTGACACCATAAAAAAACAACAGAACAAGTGAATCGTAGCAGGCATGTCATAAAGCTCTTATTATACATCTTACTCTGTACTATGCATCATTTTTTACCATACAGAATATAACGTTAAAGGGATCAATCTACCCACCAAGCACACGGAGACCATCCATCGCCTCCACCCCCATGCCCTAATAAACAGGGTATAAAATTAAGGTTGAGGTACAACCTTAACCAGAATCTACAGTAAACTTCCCCAACCGTTAAAACTATATTAATCCCGTATACCGTCGAATTATAACCCAAGACATGATATCAAACAATATACCCATCGAAACATAAACAGCTAAACACAAGTGTACCGCCCCCCAGAGAGGCACGACACGTGTCTGCAGTACAGCAGCAATGAACCCCGCAATCTACCCTCAGCCCCAGCCTCAGCCTCACCTATACCTCCTTATCTTCTTCACAACACCCACTCAAACAAGAACCTCCCCTCCCAAGTACAACACAAACCCACAATAGCAAGTAAGAGCACTGCCCACACCAAAACCAAGCACAACCCAAATGAAATGGCAACCCAATACACCTTCACCATCCCCCTGCATGAAACCGGCAACGAAGACAGCGCCTATCGAATGACCAACCTCCCCAACCAAGAACAACGACATTATCTCATTCACCGCACCTACCATCGCTCCGACCGCATCGTCAAAGGCCGACTCCAACACGTCATCCACGGAAGTTTTCATCCTGATGATCACGTCTCCAACGCAACTCTCATAGTCGCAAAGTTCGAATTCCTCGGACAGACCCTCGATCGTCGATTCAAGCACGCACGGATCAAATGGGATTTTGCTTATGCGGACATGGATGATGATGATGATGATGATGATGATGAGGATGGAGATGGCGATACACCCGAAGTCAAAAAAGTCTCGCTGGATGGACAATACATTATGAATGAGTCGGTAGTCTCACTGAGTAAAGAGGTTCGTGGTGATGCAGGGGTACAGGGTGGTGGGGTTGTTACGGCAAATATAGGAACTGGGTGGACGCGGTCGCAGAGTGCGGAATTGAAAGATCACATCTCGATCTTTGGGACGAGCTTGTTTACGAACCGGCTGTGTGGGGAGCCGAATGGCGCTCAGTGGGTTTTGGAGGAGAATGCTAGTCAGCGGAGTGGAATTCCTGGGGCGATTACGACGGCGGTGCTGTTGCGGAGGGATCCGGGGAGAATGTTTGTCGGGACAATTGAGGTTAAGGCTGAGATGGGGAGGTTTAATAAGATTGAAGATTGGCTGGGGAGGAAGCCTAGAGTTGATCCGGTGGTGTTTAATCCGGCGTTACCACCTACTACTAAGGTGTATGATGCTCAGCATCTGGATGCTGTTGATTTGGATGATATCCCGGCTGTGGTGCTGCATACGTCTCTGCCTGTCGCGCAATAGGCAATAGGTCAATTGTATTTCTACCCTTTCGTAAGTCGTCTAACATAGCTGCTGCATATTATATACTCATTCATCTCGTGATTCAGTCTCTTTCCGCCAGCAGTAACTGTCCACTCCTTCAAAGCGAAATCCACCAGGGCCAAAGTTCGTAGTGATCTCAATCCCGTTCTCGCCATAGCCAAACACAGGGTAGTAGATACCCTGCAGTTTACAAGGGAACGTGCCTTTAGTCCTTGTCAGGCATACACTCAGAAATTGAGGCTCTGAAACAAAGTCACATACCGAGGATCTTTCCATTATGGGTGAAAAACGCACATTGTGCATCAAAGTCCACACCACATCCCACCACATCTCCATCTTCATATGTCGGTCCATACTCTTTCCCTCTCCCGCTTTCCGCGTAGAGTAATCCATCATCGGCGTGATAACCCCACGACTTCCCATACCAGCCAGGCATCCCCCCCTTCTTAGCGTTTTCCTCGCAGAACCCGAGGCCCAGAATCCTGTCCACCAAACGAAAACCAATCAGCAGACTAGCACGAAAATATATAGAGAAGGTGTGACTCACTTGAATGTTGCAGCATTGATAATTGCCACCTCATAGTAATATACATGTTTTTCGAGAGGCATTGGATGATTAGGGCGAATTTGTATCATGGTCCAATCGTTCCCGATTCCTCCTAGCCGAGTAGGTCGAAACCGTCAGCATGTATCCACGTTTTGCTTATCAGAACTCACCAGTAATAATTTTAAGGCCTCTCCCAGCTAGCAAGTATCTTGCAGAACTCTCTTCTTCACCACCCCACCGGCTTGGGAGGTAGCAACTTGGCACTTCTTGTACTCCCGATGGAGAAATACTAGAAAGAATGGAGACAGCCTCGGTCCTTCCATATGCTTTGGCAATGTGCATAGCAGCCCAACCGTGAATATCCTTCAACATTTTGCACCGGTCGTCCTTTTGAATCAAGGCTTCCACCATATCTCCCTTTCCACGAGCCGCTGCCAAATGCAGGGCCGTCATTCCCTGCTTATCCTGAACTGACACTTCCTCACCCAAGTAAATCAAGTATTTCAGCGCATCCAATTCACCTTTATTTGCAACCCAATGCAGCGCGGTCCGTTCGTAAACCGCATCTTTGGCCCCGAGACTAGATGAATGCTTCTCAATGAGTTCCAAATTGCCTATCATTGCCGCAAGATGCAATGGTGTGAACATGCTCTCAGCCTCAACCATGCGGATCCCGTAGTGGACTATGTGGTTCAAGTAGACCGGGTCGTCATCCATAATAACCCACTCGATGACTGTCTTGCCACAGTGCATCTCAAACGGGTTAGCCCCATGTTGCAAAAGAAGCTCAACCACAGAGGACATTCTATGTTGGACAGCAGAACCCAGGATTGTAACACCGGTCTCTGTAGCACTGGGCAAGGGCGTCCCTTGCTTGAGTAGAAGTTGCACTAAGTCGTCGCTCTTTGACTCGATTGCATAATGGAGGGCGCTGAAGCCCCTATCAGACACGAGATCAGGGTTCGCGCCTGCATCCAACAGCCTCTTGACAACTCCAACTTGTTCACCTCGCGTGCATGCATATATTAAAGGCGTCTTATTATCGGATGATCGTGCATTCGGATTCGAACCTCGTTCCAAGAGAAATTGCAACACCTCCTCACGCCCTCTTATTGCTGCTATGTGCAAAGCGCTCACCCCATAGGGTGAACATTCCAGTATGCCATCGCCTGCTTCCTCCAGAACTCTCTTGACTCCCTCAATACAACCCGCTTGTGCAAGCCAATAAAGACCCTCTGAATATTCCGCCACTGACGGGGTATTAGGTCCGACACGCTCCAAGAGTTGCAACACCATTGTCCGATCATTTCTTGCAAGAGCCAGTTCCAACGGCATTTCCCAATACGAATCTTTCGCCATTGGGTTGCAGCCAGCCTCCACCAGTAGCCGGACGACATCCTTGTCTTGTCCAGCAAATACCGCTTCATAAACTAGCGCAGCCTGGTTTTGACTTGCATTATCGATCTTGGCACCGGCATCCAACAATAATCTGAACACCTGTGGGTTGCCACTTAGAATTGCGCAATACAGGGGGCTTTGTCCGTCAGCATTGCTAGTGTTGGGATCGGCTCCTTGATCGAGCAATAGTCGGACCAGTTCCTCATATGCATTCCCGGCACAAATATGCAACGGGGTCCTGCCTCGGTCATCAACCGCTTCCACGTAAGACACGATTTGCTGAAGGGCCCGGAAAATGAAAATGTTCCCGACTTCAGAAGCAAGATGAATAGGCAGACGTCCATCCATATCGCACAAACTCGGGTTGGCGCCTCCATCAAGCAGCGCCTTTACAACAGCCGTTTGACCATCTTGAACTGCCAGGTGCAGGGGCGATTTTCCATGTTGGTTCCCATAATTAGGATCAGCGTGCGCCTCGAGGAGCTCCCTTACAATGTCATCATAACCCCCCAAAGCTGCCGAATGCAAAGGGGTTGGTTCGTGCGCATAATCTTGATTCCCTGCTTCCTCGGCATCTCCATCACTACTTTCCTCTTCCTCCCCTTCCTCCTCTTCCTCACCATGACCACCACTGCTACCGTCATTATTGCGGGCCTCCAGACTGTCTCCAGCTACCGCTGACTCTCCGTTATGCTCACTTATATCCTCGCGGAGCTCTATGCGTGGAGATTCTTCATCTGTTCGACTGACCGACAGTCGATCTTCTGCTCGGCGAACAAGTTCCCGAACGACCTCCAGGTGGCCCGCTTGAGCGGCTAAGTGTAACGGCGTGAACCCTTTGCGATTCGAAGTGTTTGGATCTGCTCCCATTTCCACAAGACGTATAACAATCTGGAGGTGGCCTCCCGCTGCGGCTAAATGGATTGGTTGGTCTCCGTCAAAGTTGGGTGCTTCGAAGCTAATGTTATTCGCCTTCATAAGGGCGATAAATGTCGAAATGCTTCCATTTTTGCAGACAAGATGCAACGGTGACATCCCATTATAATCTCTGGTCTCAGCATCGTGCGACGGTAAAAGTTCAGTAACAACGTTAGCACGCCTATTGTCAGTAGAATGATGTAGGATCGTCCAGCCGTTCTCATCTTTGCAGTCTGCCCTGCAGCCCTCGGCCAGAAGCAAGCGAATGACATCGATGTCGCCTCTTTGGGCAGCCAAGCGAAGCAAACTTGACCCAACTTCCCCTGGCAATCGTGCGCCTCCAACATTGAGTAGGTGTTTCAAAACTTGAAACTGCCCCGAATAAATAGTGTCGAGGTACAGATATGTATTATCTTGGAGAGCCGATGACAAATCTGGAAGCAGCTGCAGCAAGATATCAATTGTTTCAAGATGCCCACGTATGACTGCTACTTGAAGTGACTTAAGACAGACAGATTCTGGAACATCGAGCTTGGTGAGTATATCAATGACAAGCTCTGTGGCCCCTGTTCTACTAGCAAGAGTAAGTGATTTATTCGAAGGGGTCGTGTCGAGCAGCAACTGGCGGGCCACGTCCAGGTGACCGAATTGTAATGCTACCTCTAAGGCTTCAGTCATTTCCTGTGAAGAAATAGACTTGCCCTCGGTGGGATATATCAGTTTAGAAACGACCTCGCATAGGCCATGTTCCGCAGCAAGAGCAAGAGGGGTGGATTCAATGGAGTCTGTGCTGTCGAAACAGTGCACATTCCGCCACCACTCCGCCCAACGTTTTCCGCAGTTGTCATGTAAGAAGAAATCTATGATGTCATAAGTAAGAGCATCTCTATTTTCTTCTGCGCGGTAATGATAAGGCCAGTATCGTGCCGCGTACTCGCTGAACTCCATTCCGCTCTGTCCCAAGAAACTATAACATTCGTCGGTTGGACTCGCTTGAGTCACCAAAGAGCGTTTCAGATATGTGAGACAATGACGCGTCAAATCAACATGCGATAACAGATCGCAAGCTTGAGCACCAGTACCCAACTTCAACTTTGCTGTGCCCTCCCTTCGGATATATTCTCTGACGGATTCGCTCGCAAACATAGGTTGGCCGTTGCGAATTTCAATGAGCGGTCCCAAGGCACGGGCCAAGTCGCCCTCAAGATCAAGAGGTAGTTGGCGAAGCAACTCCTGCTCTTCCAGACTGTCGGGAATCAAGACAGCAATAGCTAGCTCATGTATACTAAGCGGCCGGAAACCAAGCACCATCCAAGACAAAGCCCTGCGCACCCATGGCCTTAAAGCATTCAGCGGGCCCAGCATCCGTGCATATAGCTCTGACAGCGGTTTCTGCAAAATTTGGAGGCTCCCCTCTATCGAGCAGACACTTAGTGGCCTGGCGAAGTGTAATAAGGCTTGCAGTCGAATGTTGATGTCTGAAGGGGATGCAGATCCCTGAAGCTCATTGACAATTACCTGCTCAAGGTCCGTAAGACTGCGTGTTTGCGTCAATAACTGCCGCATTGTACGCCGAACGAGATCCTTTAAGTTTTCGTGCTGTAATAATAGTGAATTCAGATTCAATGCAGGCGTTTTCCCGGATGCTGCATTGCTGAGTGTTCGGCTTGTGGCAAGCACTTTGCAGCATATACTTCGGGCATGGGCCATCTCCACCAGTGCATCTAACTGATCTGTTATGCTGTCATTGCACAAATCAACTCCATCAATTATATAATAGATGGATTGGACTTCAGGACATGACAATAATGATCCAAGAAGTACCCATAACTCTTCAACAGTGTAGTTTGGTATTTGACCGAAAGAGCGTAGAACGGGTCGAATGATATCGAAGGCGGGGGCAACAGTGACCAGGAACCTATAGATTAGCACTCTTATGACGGTCGACAGTGTTCTCTCAAAACATGGGACATCTTCAAAAGATAAGTAAGCTGTCACCATCGTCTCTTCTGCCGATATTTTTGTGAACTGCGCAGTTTCCATCTTCCCACCCCCGTATACATAGAATACTCCAGCGTTACCATTATTTCTCCATGACTGGTAGGTTGTATCAGAATATAGGAGATCATGTGCTTGGGAGCAAGCCGTATATGGCAACAGTCCGCGAACATGCGAGGGGGCAAATTTGGAGAGGATTAGGTTGCGGGCATCTCGGCCGTACACGGCGTGCAACGATTGTTGGGAACCTAATGGTCTGGATATCAGCCCTACAGCTACTTTAATCAGTTCCACGAAGTAGACGACGATCCCATACCTTCTGAAAAGGGCATTGCTAAGCGCCTGATTTGGCTTGAGAGAACTTGCCACTCACTTAACACCTCATCGGTCGCTTTCTCTGTCCGAAGTGCTATTGTTTGTTCAGATGTGAGTGTCCTATACCGCCCGGAAAGAAAAGTGAAGGCACCATGGGTTTCTTTCATTGTTGTAGCTAGGTGACCCAATATCGTCGCGATGCCCCATCCATACCGCTGGTGCAATCGAACAGCCGTGCGTAGACTGATTTCTTCCCACGATTTTCCGGTTTCTTTCACTGCTTCGGCCTCCAGAAAGCCCTGAACGGACTTCTGTTAGCATTATTGTGCAGCAAATCCACGCACATACCGTGTGCTCAGAGGACTCCGTACTATGAGAGACGTTTCATGGCTAATCGATTGGAATTGTTGGTAGTGGTGGGCAATCACTAGCGCCTTTGAGGAAAAGAGAGGTGTTAGCTACAATACTCTTTTTGTGTTGGGAATTCAAGGTTATAATAACGAACTTGTTCTACGACCAGAAGACCTATTCCCGAAGCAAGGAATATAATTTCGGATCCGGTACGCTGAAGTTTTTATTAAAAGGCCGAAACACTATAATCCGGGGTGATAACTGACATGATCATCCTCTCTTTGCTGCTGGATTGAGCTCAGCAGCTCCCAAGCCTGGGTCTGAAAACCACGACCTGTGAGTAGAGTTTCAGAAAAAGCACCTGGTATTGGGCAAAAGCTGAGAATGTGGGCTTCGGGGTAATCTGCTATGAGAACATCCTCGAACCAGGCCATCAGTTCTCCGCTCCCTTCCTCGCAGGCGAACTCTGGTCCTTCCAGGTCATGAACAACCACAATACTAGCACCATCAGCATAGAGCACAAGACACATTAAGAGAGAACACGACGTGCGCGATCGTAGAGTGTAACTGACTCTGGTTTAAACGATAGAGGACGATTTCCCTTTGATTTCCGTGCCCATAGTCGAACAAAGGACTTTCCTTTAGCAGTCGAATCCATTGTATGCCCAGTTTCAACCAACTTTGTTATGATGGATCAAGTTGAGGCGGGCTACTTCGATGGTGCCCGCGAGGCTGAGCTTCTGGAGCAGCTGAAATAGTACTCCGAAATCAAACAAATGGGACCTCATCTCTTGGGCCTTCCAACCACGTGGGCCAATGAAATGATTGAACTTATGGCACACTTGCATGGTGAATCTGCGAGAGATGGACCGGCTGTCAAATCAAATTTCGGGGTAAGTGCAAGTGGAGCGGTGCGAGCACAGGAAGGTGTGTGATTATGCAGAGTTGGATGCAGGATCACGCGAAGCTCCGCAACCATTGGGAGGGGACGTCGGCAAACAAAACGTACAGCACCATGACCAAGTCTCCTAATCGGACCCATGTTCGCCTCTCTTTCGGCAAGAAGAGGAAATGTTCCGATGGCATCATATTTTTCTCTCAGCTGCTCTGTTGACCCAAATTTTCCCAAACCAAATTTATCGACCGTGAGATTATCCGTCTGAAACTCTGAAAACCAGCCCTGATGCCTCCAAGAGTTGCCCTTCGTGATTGCCGGGAACGAGTGCCACAAGGCCCATATGGCTGGGACAAAAGTCTTCGCAGTGTTCATGTCGTATCGTCGAAGGATCAACAGATTGATGAGAGTCACATACGCCCGATTGGGGTCTTGAAAAGACAGCCAACCCTGGGGGGAGAGGGAGATGACGGAAGTGAGGGCGAGGAGGACGACGACGAGGAAGAGGGAGAGGGAACATTCCAACATGTCAGTAGCGAGGAAAGGAAGTTACGGGATATTACAAGAAGACATCGCGATATCTGCAAGAAGTACGTGCAGATCAAATCTAAAGCAAAGTCTGTTGAGCAGTACTTTGGGGGCCCCGAAGATTTCCACAGGTTCCTCAAAGAGAATGGGGATGTGCTTGGGGCTGTGGGTGAAAAAGGGGAGACCCTGCTTCACCACTTCGCACGACAACGGAAGGGTCAATTACTCGTGAGACACTTGGTTGGCGATTTTCCAGAACTAGTTCATCAAAAGAATCGGAATGGATATACAGCGCCGCATATCGCGGGCGTCCAGGACACTTGCAACCAACAGTTCATCAAGGCAATTTTGAAAACCCGCGAGAAGATTCCAGCTCTGCACCAGGAATGCGGAAATGGTAACCTTTTGCACATAATCCTCCAATCAATGCTGCCTATCGTTGAAATAGTCCATAACGCTTTGAAAGAGGTTTCAGATGCTCAGCAGCGTCACAAAATCCTGGAGGATCTTTTTGCCTGCAGGGACAAAAAGGGCCAAACTCCGTTGCACGTTGCTATTAACACCATTGCACGGCACAACACCGGCTTGACCACACCAGATATTCCCCCAATGATTAGATTCATCAGCTTTGCCTTAGCTGAAAATCCCCAGGCTCTCTCCCACACCGATAACATTGGCCGAACACCCTTACACGTCGCGGTCAAAGCTATTGGAGACTCCTTTGCTTCGCCACCACCCTCTCAACCGTCTCCGAATATCGAGTATCTTATTGATTGGGTCCAGGACCTGACCACGCGCTGCCCGAGGGAATTTTATAAGCGCACCGAGGACAACAGGCTACCATATGAGCTGCTTGGGTCCGCGAAGAACTATACAGTGTTGAGAAAGCTGTCAGAGGATATAAAACGCCTTTATATGAGAGAGCTTCCGGTAGATGAGCTGAAAGAAATCTTGTACGATGTTCCAACGGTAGGTACTCAGCCTCATAGCTCAGGACCTGGGGGAGAAAAAACAATCTATTTCGATCTCTCCAATGACGCAGAGAACAACTATACATACAAGCGCCTAACAAGATTGGCTCGCCATGTCCAATTCGAGAGCATCCTCCATCACGTCGACCTACCGTGCCTGACCGTTAGTGGTGGAGAGAACCTCCTAGAAGATTCCCAGAGTGACCAAGAGGAGTCGCGGCGCACGTCCTCTCTGCCTGGAAGGGTCGACTTTGTAAAAGTCTTCCAATGGTTGCGGAGCAAAGGGGTCAGTGAAATCATTGATGTCAGTGTAGTTGATGACTGCAATACTCCCCATTGTGAAGAAGCCATTGAGATGGCTCTCCGGGGCTTTGGAGTTGAAATTCTCAATTGGAACCGATTTGATATGCCGAGCGATGCCATCTTCAACGCCGCACCGGGCGTACGTGAGCTGTATCTCTACTCCAGCAGTAACAACGAAGTTTTGCGCGGTTGGTCAGCCCCTGGCGGCCTCGAAAAGCTAGAAAAGGTAAGAGCTGACGAGTTCTGAGTTCTCAAGCATGTGCTGATAACTGGGCATAGTTGAAAAGGATTCACCTCAGCATCCAACCAGTAGGTATCCGACTCCACTGAGCATTTGTGAGTTTCACTAAAGAGAGTCGAAAACTACTATCCAGGGAGTTATCTCAGAAGAAAGAATCACCCTGTATCTAGATCAGTTTAAGCAGAGGCTACGTGAAATCCGGCCGGAAATCGAGGTTGTGGAAGAGAGAATGATGAACCGCATCTCGCCGCAGATCCACTTCCACAGTCAGGCGACAGCCATCAGCAGGTAGCGCTCCCCTCATTCCCTCCTGGCTTGCTCACGCAACAAACTAACGTAATTTGTCGCTTTATTAGCAAGCATCCCTGGGTGGATACGATGGACCAGTTTGCGCTGATCGTCAAGAACTACCACCGGCACCTGGAGAAGTATGCACCCACTGTGAAGGTGGCTATTATTGATGACGGAATCGACCCGCTCCAAGCAAATCTGCAGGAGAACATCGATGGTGGAACTTCCTTTCATCACCGGCCCGGTCGTCCCGATCGCCCGATTGACTACTGGTCGGCACCCGGTGGTCATGGCACGGAAATGGCCAAGTTGATTTGTCGTATCTGTCCCAAGGCGCGCTTATACATTATCCGCCTCGGCGAGGGATATGGGGAAAAAGGAGTGCGACAGATTAAACCAGAAACAGCAATCAAGGCGATCAAATGGGCTACTAATGCTGGTGTGCATATCATCTCTATGAGCTGGAGCATAAATCAGAGCAAGATGTCCGGGGACCTGTACAACGATTTCCAGAGAAGTATCCGCGCCGCATACGATAAAGGAATCACCATGTTCTGTGCTGCAAGCGACTATGGAAACACTAGCGTTTCGCTGGATAACAATGATCTCCCTGCTGCGTTCAGCGATCCACTCAAGATTGGTGCAGCCACCATCGATGGTGGGAAGTGGTCCAGGACTGGTGCACAGAAACTGGACTTCTATCTTCCAGGAGAAAACCTACCGTTAAGGGATCAGATGCACTCTCCTCAGTTTCCACCACAGTCGCTGTCCGGTAGCTCATTAGCGACAGCTGTTGCAGCTGGACTGGCCGCATTACTGCAATACTGCATGGGAACGGCAGCGAGACAGCCCGAGAACAAACCGGTATTCCGGACAGATGATATGCGACATGCCTTCAAGGGGTTGAGTAAGAAGGACCCAGAGATTCCCGAAGTCCACAAATATTTTGGCGACACGCAATCACTCGACACACTTAAGAAAGTTGAGGACCGATATGATTCGATTGCAGCTGATCTGCGGAGAAGTCATCGATAATAGCGCAATCTATCAAGACGAAATCCATGCTATAAGTAGTATCCACACTAGGCTACTTAGTAAAAGGGTACATCCTCAACAGAGGGTAGAAGTCCAGCTAATAGAAGACCACAGACCCTTTAACCAACTAAGCCATGATGGCCAAAGAATTTGCAATGGGTACGCTTGCTTCGAAGGTCAATTAGTCCCCCCGGCGCAATGCCATGCCAGTACTCTTATCACAGTTATACTGCAAATGCGAAAATTGGCCAATACAATAGTATCGTCTCCCTACACTCCCTCAATCTCAAAGCGATCCCCAACATCTAATGTAAAGATATCCTTTCCCACTCGTTGAGACATCAGCAACAACCATAACCAAAAATATATGATCATAAGTAATCAATACTTCAATGACTTGAAATGCAAAACATCAGAAATTCACATAAACGACACTATCTACCCACCCAAGATATGATAACAACACACTAACCAACCACCACCCAACCCCCCAAAAAACCACTGCAAAAAAAAGAAATCCTCCCCGACTGGGAGTCGAACCCAGGTCTCCCGCGCTTGTTCCTGAGAAGGATTGACAAGCGGAAATCATGACCGTTAGACCATCGAGGATTTGATATATTATCCAGGTGATATTTTAACTACATAAAGCTAGAGCCCGCAGGGGGAGTTGTGGCTGCTTTCGGACCGGTTAGGGCTGTTTGGGTGGGGCGGTTGTTACCATCTATCTAACCAGGTACGAGTAGATATGTAGTTTGATTCTGGGTTGCAGTTACTTTTGGGATTGCGGTTGTAGTCGGATGTGGATGGTTGCTGTGTTGGTAGGGTATATAGCACAGGGGTTGGTTTGGTAGAGGGAGAAATATGGGGGAGTTTAACGTATTGGTTCCTAGAGGTAGGGAGGGACTCCTTTTGGCGGGTCGTCGGAGGTGGTATAATGTAGGGAAGTTCGATTGGTTTGGAAGTGGAGAGTTGTTGTTGGATTGTTATGTTCCTTTTGAGGGAGTTGTGTATGTGGGTAGCCCTAGTGCTTTTGAGATTGCTCGTTGGAAGTATAAGCAATATTTGGTGACAATTGACTTTATGTCTGTCTGTATACCCTCGGGATACTTGAGCTGTCGCGAATCTTCATCTATGATTCCATTAGCACCTGCTAGTATAGCATAAGTTAGAGGCCTTCCACAACGAAGATCCTCGATGGTCTAACGGTCATGATTTCCGCTTGTCAATCCTTCTCAGGAACAAGCGCGGGAGACCTGGGTTCGACTCCCAGTCGGGGAGATCTTTTTGCCATATTACTTTTTGCTTTATTTTTGTTACCGATCTACCACAGACCTCTGGCACGGACATTTCATAGAAGTCAATTAATCCCTAGCTACCATTACCAAGCCTGTGTATGTATCCAATGCAAGCCGCATGAGCACGTGGAGAATTGAACGGAACCGCCTATGTCCAAGACAAACCGAATAAAGGAGACAGGCCTCCCAGAGCAAAACGATCTAAACAACAAACACGCAAAAGAATTACCTCATCGCAAGACAACAGACCAGCTGAAACAAAGATAGAGATTTAACAATTGCGAGAGTTTAGTTGTCAGTCTTCTCGTTGACTGCATCCTTAACTTGGGCTTTCTTGGCCTGAAGCAAGGAGCTGATATAGGCTAGCGACTCCTGCGAGAGCACCAAGCCGGTAGTGATGACGGCCTTGCCGCTCGCAACCATTCCGTCCCCACCACACTTCTTGTACTCAGAACTGTAAGTGTCAAAAACATGACCCTTTAGGTCATAAGCGAATCGCACTGGGAATGAGACACCATCTTTGATCGATCCCTTGAGCGTGGTTGTATCATCTCTGATAAATGGAAACTTTTCATCAACCTTGCTCAGGCCTTTGTCTCCGAGAGTATCTACGCGCGCGACATACGGAGCAACGAAGCCGTACGGCTTGGAGAAGTAAGGGAGGAACGGCTTGGCTAAGCGAGAGTAGCCTTGGTCGGCATATTCCAGAGACTTCGCGGCGTACTTGTTGGTCTTGATGACGGTGATAGAGTCGGAAACAACAGGATAGGATGTCAGGTGCTACCATAGGAAATAAAGATTAGCGCATGTTAGAAGCGATCGGCAATCGTGCATTAGGGTAACTTACATCGAGGAATTGGGAGTGGATAGCCTCCCCGTTGACAGAGTTCTCGCCCATAATGCCGTTTTCTGCGTGAGGCATAAGTTTCTATCACATGAAAATCGCATTAGTATATGAAAGGAAGTATAGAGTAGCGGAGCGATAAGATAAACCCTTACCCGACAACAGAATGCTCAAAGCTAGATGGGTCCTGGTGGACAAGACGAGCTATGGAGGGTCAGACGTGAAGAAGCGGTGACAAGAAGCGGAAAGTGAGGAGGATGGGGATGTTGAGGATAATAAAGGAAATGGAGGGGTGAGAGGGGAAAGGACATCACTTACATTTGCAGAAGGAAAGACGGAATACGGGAGCAGTTGGGATGGACCGGAAAGAGGTGAACCGTAGTTAAATTTAAGGTAGGTTCAGAGGAGAGAAGAGCGAACACGCCATCAGTCGATCCGATAGCTAGGATTTATGAGGCTTGAGTGATTTGATTTGTTTGAATTTTTTTTCTGTGCTAATTTTATTTTAGTTTTTTTAATTATTGTCTTTCTTTATGTTAGTTTGATTTATCATGAGATAATACAAAAAATAAATAATATTTTATTTTTTTTCTGGGTAAGAAATAGAAAAAGAGAGCGAGAGCGAGTTGGCAGCATGTGATAGCGGGCCCGTTGGTGAACAAGTCGCTTGGAGCTTGAATGGAGGGGCAAGCCAGCCGTTGGTTCCAGGAGGTTTTAGACCGTCGTAGGACGGAGTTAGTTGTTGCGTGCTCAATCCGGCGGCTTCATCGTCATTATCATTTCACCTGCAGGGCCTGGAACCTGGGATGAGCCTGGAGAAAACGCGACCCAAGATTGGATTGACCAGGATCGTGCATCTCCTTCCGTGCGCTCGCGCTCCCCCGACAGCTCGCATCCGAATTCGCACTGAACATACTTAGTAGTTGCTATCGCGGAGCAGCGAGGATATGAAATGAGGATTCAGAAATGGACAGAGTGAGTTCAGACCCCTCGGAAGGCCGTGTCGAGCAAGCCACCCGCACTTGTGCCTACATGGTTCCCTCTTTCTTAGTCATGTATAGATAGAGTAGTCATGACTGGAACGGAATGAGAATCAAACGATTCATGATTTTGGTCTCGATAACGGCGGTAACGGTTGCGTTGTCGGAGTGGCAAGAGCCAAGCCAAACAAATGAACGACAGGCATCGGAGCAGCAAATTAGGACCTTGATTCGGGGCTACAGGCTGAAAGTAGTTGCAGCAGTGCAGTGTGGATGATGATGGAATCCGGAAGTTGCGAACAGTTGATTGACTTGGAAGGTTTTCTGGCTTGGAATCGCGGGATGGGCTGATAGCATGTGATTGCGGGTCGGGCGGCCCTAGTCGTTTTCTATCGCCCGTCGGCTGGTCTTCCTGCTACATACACTACATTAACTGTCATTGTAGTTCATTCCCGAACATACTCCTCATGCCTAATGTCCTTTTCCTATTCATCTTGATCTTACCGGCCGTAATTATATGCCATCTTTTCAGTGTTCGTTTGGAAATATGCACATATTGCTAACCTTACAGTGGCCCTTTACTTGAATTCCTCGTGGCTCCGATAAGAACGGGACTTCGCCGTGGTTCGCGCCGCATGCTTATCAGGGCGCCTATTCACGGTGACTGTCACAAGGAAACCGGATCCCCAAAATTCCACCCCAACGATCCGGAGTACTAGTCTCAAGAAGCAACCAGCTGGAGGGTAAACGTTGAGGATCAGTACATCCGGAAAACGGACTACTGCTTTCCCCCTGCTTTTCCTTTTGTACCAGATGGGTAACCGCTCTCGTTGATCTCCTGCGGGAAGTGCAAGCATCATCATCTTTGCGCCTGGACCTCGTCTCAGGTCCGGGGTTGGAGGCGTCTTTGACCCTTTGACCCTTTGGACCATCACCTTTCTCCGTGGAAGACATCTTACTATCCAGACTGCTCCGTAGATTATTCTGGGATAGAGAGGGGTTTAGCTTGATCCACTCGTCCTCTTGGGCGCTACCAACGCCAACCGTGTGGTGGCAGTCCTGCAAGTGCTGTCCAGATCTGAGCAAGCTTCGACAGAATATGTCCCCATTGTAGTATCTTCCACGGGCTCGCCTTCAGGCCAGTGTCATCTAGTGCTGACCATGTGCGTCGTACTTCTGTTCATGCGACAATGGTCGTACCGTGCTGGACTTTCCAATGCTGTCTGATTGTCTTGCTGCTGCATGTCGGTCGACGCTAGCCTTCCCGGAGGTCAATTCATAAACCTCGATCCCGATCAACTTTGACATATTGAAGCATAACGCAGTGTCTTTGTGCTTAAGTCTGATTTAGCGTTGACGCCCAGTCTGGACGTAAGGTCCTCCTCCTCAACACCACTACAGTTTCTCTACCCGGCGATCGGAAGCAAAATGAGATAGAAGGCGCCAACAACCTGGACGGCCGACTCCTGGTGGCTTGCTTGCTGCAATCGCCGGCCGCGTAGATATCAACAACCAATGGCTTTTCACATGTCCTGAAGGATTCCCATCGGTAGCTTTAACCATCCTAGTTGTTGCCATGCTGCCAGGATTGTAAATACCCGGTCATTATCGACGACCGAAAGTGAGGGATTGTCGCACGCCTAGACGGCTACTCCCTCTCTCGGGTAAGGAACGACGTGCACAGATCGCAACCTCTAATTGCACCTCCTCATTTCCACGGCTACATGGGACCCCCATGTAGTACCTTGCCAGCACCGGTTGGCGGTACACCTACCTTTCTGGTACCTAGCTTGTTTGGTTCAGGCGCAGAAGCCGGTGCTACCGTCATCTAGACGGAGGGGCAACATCATCCGTGCTACATTCACTAGTGAACATGGCCTCCTTGCACTAATCCACCACTACGCACGTTAGACGGAACCAAAGGATGAGCACCGTATCTACACAATATGACATAATCCCCTAATATAGGCCTGGCCTACGTTTCCTACAGGTGGGGATATATGCTTCCTCCATGGAACTCCGCTTTTACCCCAACATGTGGGATAGGCTGGGATTTCATGTACGGGGAATATCGGCCGTGCGGGGATGGGAGTACAAGCTCGGTAGGTT